CTGGAGGTGAACTGAGGACTCTGATTAAAGATGGTTTTGGAGGAAACTCATCAGCTGACTTCAACAGGAACATCTGTGAGTTCATATTGGCCAAGTCCCTCGAGAGCTTTTCACTGCTGAACACGCTACTTCCCAACTGTTCAAGATAGTGGCTCAGAGCTGTGTACATATTTTGAGATACATTCTGCTGATTGGATTATTTTTAAAGCCTATTTCTTATCTAAAGTATTTCCTTTAATTGCTTCTTTTTGGCCTGATGCTAGGTGTCAGTTAGGTTATTCAAAGTCTACAAATCACAGAATAATACTCTCAGAAATTGGGAATAGCCACCCTATCACTTTCCAGATGTGGAAACTGATGTCCCTTCGGGTGAAGAATTGCTCAATTCATACAGATATCTCATACTTTCTTCCTTCCCTTCTTCTTCCCTCTCTCATCCCTTTTCTTCCTTCCTTATTTACTGAATAACTCCCAGATGCCATGCACTTTTTTTCAGTGTTAGCGATACAAAGAGACGGCACATGACACAGCCTGCTGAACTCTTAGTCTAGTGCAGCAGCAGTGATGTAAGATGATTATTACTCTAGGCATGATAAGTAATTGGGTTGAGGGGCACACAGGATTCTAAGAGAACCCAGAACAAACCAACTAAATTAGACTTGGAGAGTCAGAGAAATTGACTTGAGTGGAGTCTCAAAGGATGTGTTGGATATGAGTAGGCTGTGAAGGGAGTGAAGTGTGAGATCAAAAATGAGGGAAATGATCTTCCAGACAGAAGGGAGAGTACAGTGTAATAGCATCAGATGTATACTTCATTTTCCCGAATTCATTTATGGAGAGAGATAAAGAGGAAGGAAGGGAAGAAGGGAGGGAAAGAGAGAGAATTAGGGGAAAATAAAATAAAATTTAACATGAAGGGTGACTTCTCCTACTATCCCAGTCCATGCTTCTGTGCTGTGCTTCTCTCCCAGCCCAAGGGAGTCATTAGTGAGTCTTACACTCATGAAGAAAGAGGGACAACCTCACAGCCATGAACACCTCTCACAGGCTTGTGTTAGCATTTTACCAATCCAGAACTGGTTTGATTATAGGTGATTTTATATGCTTAGTGTAGAACTGAAACCCCTGTAAGATGCTCTTCCATGTATAAAGTCATTCTTTCCTTGTACTTATCCATAAGTGTTTTTTGTTAAGGAGCACTGGTTGCCTGGATTGGTTTTAAGAAATGCAATCTTTTCTGTTGATTCAAAGAAGATAAATTTTATGGCTTTCATGCACCATCTTCTCTGATCTCTTTTATTGGTGGTGTTGTTGAAAGAGCTGTGAAGTCAATAAACAAAGTTAACTAAGTGCATGACTTTTACTTTCCTAGTGCCCGTGGGAGCCCAGAGCTGGTGTGATTCTGAGATACAATCTCCCCGTAGGTCATGCCTAGGGGCTGCCATTATCTCTAAGCAGCACACACTCCAGAGCATCTTATTAATGATATTTAATTACATTCAAATTAATGATGTTTTTCATCTAATCCTGGACTGATTTTACAGCTGGCAGATAAGCTGGGGTGACTTTGGCTGTTTTGTCTCTCCATCTCAGCAGGCAAGTGCCCCCTGTATCTCTGTTGACTCTGCTTTTTGCAGGTGCCCATTTTCTCCACCTGCACTTCCTTCTCTGACTACCACCCCCACCCCTTTTCAGTATTTATCAGCTACCCCAAGCCACAGAAATACTCCATTTCTTTTAAAAATTTTATTATTGATTTTAGAGAGGAAGGGACAGGGAGCAAGAGATAGAAACATTAATGATGAGAGAGAATCATTGATCAGCTGCCTCCTGCACATTCCCTACTGGGGATCTAGCTGCAACCCTGGCATGTGCCCTGCCCGGGAACTGAACCATGACTTTCTGGTTCACAGGTCGATGCTCAACCACTGAGCCATGCCGGCTGGGCAAAAATTAGGGTTTCTGATTATATGAACAATGCAGTTTTTTTTCCTATTACACAGCTTCATTTGCATATATCCTGGTCATAACTTCACTAGGTCTTAAAACACAGAGATTGTCAAGTGAGTGCTATTTGGTAACTCAAACAATACAATAGTTTTAGCCGACACTAATCACATCATTGTATACTTGAATGCACTGGGTTTTGCTGATTAAAATCTTTACAGAAGTGGAATGGAGTATTCAATTCTCAGGTTCTGGAATTGTTATTATTTCTCAATGAAAACAATGGGGATTGTAGATAGAATGTACCAAACTTGAACTATATTATTAATGGTTTCTGTTTTGTTTGAGCAAAAACAGAAGTTTTAAGAAATGGGGGCTGGAATTAAGCATTTCTGTTGTGAACTATAATACAATTTCATCGAGGATGAAATATGTTTAAAAACTGAATATATGGCATGCTAATGAAAGTGAATTAAATTGGGAAAATTCTGACACTGTTTTAAGAATTAAAGAGAAAACTGGAAACATACTCTGGATTTTTGTTCTTGGGAAATGGTAAAAATTACAGTCTTGAAGAATGCGTCATTGTATTGATAACCCAACTATTGATTTATTATGGCAGAAAACAAGAAGTATTACATAAAATAATTTCTCTATTTATTTTTCTACTTGTCTCAAACTCTTCCTTAAATCTCTTCTCTCCCCCTCAAAAAACACTAAAAATAATAACAACTAAAATAAAATAGCTCATTGCATCCATTCAAGTAAGTTTCAGCATATTAGATAATTGAAAATTCTCCAATTATCTCTGCATCTGATCTTAGGATACATATCCTTTTCTTCTTCTATACTTTCTTGGCTTTTTTATTCATTTATTCACCCATTCACTTAACATATATTTTTAAATACCTCCCAGAAACCAGATATTATGATAGGCACTGGGAAAACAATGATTGACCAAACCTAGACTCTACTCATACAGGTACTACAACCCAGTAGAGGAGGCTGACATTAACCAATACATCATACCAATAGAAATATAAAATTAGAATCATGGTAAACATTAAGAGGGGCAGGTGAATGGTGCCAGGAGAGCCTATAAAAGTGAGGTTTGATTTAACCTGGAGGACCAGGTAAAGCTTTTTTGTAGAAGCTGTTATGGAGCTGCAATATGAAGAAACAATAGTTATTTTGGGGCCAAGAGAAGATGTTGAAGGTGAGTATTTTCTAAATGGAGGATGCTACATGAGCATTGACCCCAGGTGAGAGGAGAAATAGTGAGATAACATATCTCAGCCTCACCCTTTCAGACAAGAGTCTGGGAGTCTTTGACTATTTCTCCTTTCCTTTGTGGGTGATGATACCATTTATACTTCTGATTCCTGAAGGTGAAATTTCTCTCCCTGAGTGCCTGGTCCTCAAAGGAGAAGAACAGGATTTTCCTGCTGCCAACCCTCTTGTTCTCCTTGTCAGCACTAATGAAGGAGTGGCATGATAACACGGTCCTACCTGGACCTGACCTATCAGAAGGTGTGTGAGGGGCCTAGGTGTCCATTTGTAATTTTTCTGGTTGATAAGAAGATGAATGGGCAGAGTCCTAGGATTAGACTCAAAAGATTGGGCTTTGCAGGGAGAGTCATGTAACTTCTCGGGGTCCCAGTTTTCCTCATCTACTGGGTAGTCATGAGGATTGAATGAGACAGCAGTGCCAGAGAACATAGTACATAATTTAAATATGTAAGGAATCATTTTATTGTTATTACTCACTCAGAAGTTCTCAGCAAGTTTTGCACACTCTTCAAATAGAATCTCAGAAAGACTATTTTAATCATATTTTCAAAGTATTTTTTAAAATAGTATAATGATATACTATCTCCTCAAAATGACAGTAGTACTAGGGTTGGCTGGGGTGCATCACACTGCTGTTTCCTAGTGAAAAGGGTCACCTGGGCAGTTCTGCTTGATTCTATTTCAAGTCTTACTTCAACTCACTCTCCACATGTGGACACAGCTGGTGTTTGCCAACACAGCATTGGATCACTTTCTGAGATGACTCAGATCTTCAAAGAACTTCAATTGAAATACCAGATAAGTGAAGCTAAGGGTCAACTATGCTTTAAAACAGACTTTATCAGGATGTGTCTCCTCTGCATATGACACAAACTAACATGTTTGAAGGCCTTCTGGGCCTCACTGTTTCTATTACTGAGGGAATAAAAAAAAAGGGAATGTATAACATTCATTGTAGCCCAGCCAGTGTGGTTCAGTGGTAGAGCATCAGCCCAGGAACCAAGAGTTGACCAGTTCAATTTCAGGTCAGGGCACATACCTGGGTTGTGTGACCCATCCACAATAGGGGTGCATGCTGATCGATGATGTTCCTCTCATGGATGTTTCTATCTCTCTATCCCTCTTTCTAAAAATTAATAAAAACATTAAAAAAATAAAATTCATTCTAGCTCTAATACTCCATGCAAAATACCTATAATCACCATCAAGAAGCTTTGGATTCCAACAAACCTGGATTCTTTTTTATTTTTTTATTTTTTATTTTTGTGTATCGTATTTACTGAAAGAAGAACAAACTTATGAGAATCTGTTGGAACTTTCAGGGGATGGAGATACATAGAATTTTCTTTTTTTTTCCAAGCCAAACTGTATCCAGCTTTATTAAAGATACTTTTTATAAACAATCTTGGTATTTCAGGCAGGACATGGGCAGACAATCGTTAACAGTATACAACTTCCAAACTCCCTTCTTCAATGAACTACCAAAATCAGAAAGCCACTATGAAACCCAGTGAAGTCTTCAGCTGATGCTCTGAACAGGGAAAGTTCAGAGTGAGGGTTGACATTTCACATTAAGCATGTTGTTTAACAACTTTTCACAAACCGAACCTGACTTTCAAGAAATGAAATGAAAATGGCAGAGAATATCAATCTGTAGATCCACAATCTAAAAAGGAACTGCAGCTCTTTTGAGGGATGCCATCTCAATGGTGACACTGGTAAGTCCAGATTGTCCAACATACTGTAAATCAAATTTTTTGGGGGGGTCAGGTCCCCATACGTCTCTGGGCTTAAGAGAGCCAAAGTCTATGCTTAAAGTGGAGAGGGAGAAAAGGACATAAAAATGAATTTTAGTTCTCCCACACGACAAGGTGTTTGTGCCAAGATGGCTAATGTGTGTCAACATCAAGAGATCCCTCCTTCCAGAATCCAAGAGGAAGTTTCTCAAAACTAGAAAGGAAAGGTGTTTTTCCCCCAATGTCAGTCCAGCTTTGGAGACATTCTATTAGTACTATATGTCCGTTCCCCAAAAAATAACAATGATGTGTTCTGTGTGCTAACAACATAGCTTAAAAAAAAAGTGAAACAAAATTCTGCATTCTTATAAAACTTGATAAAAATAGTATTTCAAACTGTACAGTCACCAGAAATACACAGCTATCAAAAATGCACCCACTTCACTTGGCATCTCCAGCACCTTCAGCTTTCTGTGCCTGGTCTGTTTTGGCATCTCCATTTTCTGCAGGGTTATTCCCATCCTTGCCAGCATCAACTTTCCCCTTTTTCCCTTTCGGTACTTTCTCTCCCTTCTTCCCAGGGGCCTTTTTAGGCTTGGGCTCTGGCTTTGGAGGAGCAGGTTTAGCTGATAACCTGGTGGATCTTCTCTGTGGTTCGTCCTTTACCTTGGCCTTATCTCCTTTAGCATCCCCTTTAGTCTTTCTCTTAGGCATGGTGGCGATGGTGGCAGGGCTTCTGGGTGGGATGCGGGGATGCAGCAGCACGGGCTTTGCTTGGTCCTCAGTCTGGGGGTTGTTCTCGCCTCCTCACACTCCATAGAATTTTCCATCAAGCAAGGAAGGGTGAGTAGGAATTACTTCTACTGACCCATTAGTACTATTTTAAGATTTATGGGAGGTCATTGATAGCAAATTTATTTGATAAGTCTTGCTTATTGTCCAGTGTTAATCAACTTAAACATTAAGGGCTTTTAAAATTCATGTAAACAACCTTTTCAAATAAAAATTACTTTCCTAAAACAAACAAAAAATATTTAGTAAGAGAGCAGCATTGTTTTATATTTTTTAAAAAATGCTTTGTTGAGGCATGATTAATGTACAAAAAAGTGTACATATGTAATGTATATACCTTGATGAGTTTGGAGATAACTATATAATCATAAAATCATCATCATGATCTAGGTCATAGATCTGTTTATCACCTACAAATATTTATTCCACCCTCTTATTTATTATTGTTACTAGTATTTTGTGATAAGAACACAATGTAAGATTTCTATTTTTTGTAATACAATACGGCACATAATACAGTATTGTTAACTGCTGTATTATAGGCCATAGAGTAGATCTTGGGGACTTATTTGCACAATGGAAACTTTGTACCCTTCAATTAATACCTTCCCGTTATCTCTAACCCCAGCCTCTGCCAGTCACAATTTCACTCTAAGTTTCTGCAATCACCAGACCTGAAATTTTATCCTGGTTCTGTTACTAATTGTCTGTGTGGCTTTAAGGAAGTAACCTAGACTCTCTAGTTCTAGTCCCTCTTTTGTAAACAAAGGTATTTCCATGAAGATAAATTGGCATAAATATGAGATAGATTTACAAAAATATCTTGTGCATATATTTGTGTACTAAATAAATGTTTGTGTCCTTCCTTTTTGTTTTCTTTAATACTTAAGTCTATATAAGTCTATTTGATCTCATGAGCTTTTGTGCTTTAAATAGGCCTCCTCTACCTGAGCCCTTCCTGAGCAGAATGAAGAATCTACATATTCTGCACTGTTCAAAGCCAACAGCCCTTCATAACATAGAGAACACTTGAATGTCCTCAACACTAGGAAAGTGAAAGAAATTTCCATTACTTGCAATTATTTCACTTGTAACAATTAGGTATTAATCTTATGACTCATGATATTGAAATATAAGGAAGAAAAATCATAAGAAGGTGAAGGGAAAATCAGTGTGAGCTATTAAAAAGTTCCCTATTCATTTCTGAAATAAATTTAGTGTGCTTGTTTTCAAAAGAATTGCCACTTCGGGGGAGAGAGGAGACAATCTATTAAAGGGGAAAAAAGTTTCTGAAGAAGTAGAGAGGTTCTTTTTATTTTCTTAAACTAATTTTCACTGCCAAGTATTGGCTCTTGGAAAATACGGTTAGCCAGCTATAAAGTCGTAACAGCAAATAATAAAAGCAATGAAATGTACAATTAAGGATCACACACCCCAGACAGCTTCTAGTTCATTAGTCATCCTCTTATCTCACTCCAGAAGGTTTCTCAATCTGTTTTTTACTCCAAGACTCAACTCCAGTGAAAGCGACGATAAGGTTCACTCTTTTTTATAGTGCTTCCTTGCACAAAGCAATGCTCTCTTAAAGATGAAGTTTAATGCTCCCTCAGGAATTGCTGTTCTTTTTAGACTTCTTTTCTGCTTGGTCAAGTTCTCTTTTTCTCAGTTGATGTTGTAAACTAGATCAGTAGTCATAGGGATTTTTATGGGATTCATGAGTAGAGGGAGTTCAAACCAAATTGTGTGAAATTTGGGGAAAGGGATTATTCTAGAATTTTTAAGGGTGCTATATGTCAAGAGCTGAATGCAGAGAACTAGGGAAGCAGGAACCACATGTAGATGTACACATTCAAAATCAGAGGAAATGTGTACTCCTCTCAAAGTGGTGGTGGGCGATGTAAACAATTCCACTATAATTCCCTGGTCTTGGAATAATTACAGGATGTGAACAAAATGTGGAATCACTCATCTATCCAGATTGGTGCTGCAGGGGATGCGGGGCAATGGGAGGAAGGTCATGTTTATTGTGAATCCTAGAGTGATGAGAAGTCACCCTTCTCTTCAAAGCATTCATTGTGAGCCAGAATGGTGGGGCCATGGATTCCATATGCCCAGGAGTAAGATACTTAGCAAAAATCCCAGAGACCTTCAGGACTTCTAACCATTTTTTTTTCTGCTATAGGATGACTATGTGGCCTTAACCAGTCACTTAGTTTATTCAGCTATCAATTAAGTGGGATTGATGGTTAAATACTTTAAATTTCCTTCCGTAAGGGATTCATAAAAGCTTGTTGACAAGAGATGGGGATAGAAGATAACGGACTCTGGCCTATTGTAACTTCACTGGTGGAGCCCCCTTCTTCTTGCCTTTTGGTTATCTTCCCAAGGCACCATCCAGCATTGTGATGTTCTCTAACAAGCCTCCTCAAGTCATTCTTCCTCATTGCTGATTTGAGTTGTTAAGATTGTTCTTCTTAAATGTAAGTTAGGAATGGCCTACTCAAAACCAATATTCCCATTTGATTCATTCTGTTTAAGGGACTTCCCTTTGTGTTTTCAAAGACACCTGTGCTCACCTTATTATTAAAAGAAATGTAACTGTGTATTATAATGGGTTAGTTGTCTAGCCAGCATTTAGAGGAGAGAAGGAAGTCTTAATAGTCCCTTCAGCCTGACATTCAGCATAAAGATAAGAACATAGTAAATGTTTAATAAATGTTTGCTGGATGAATGAATAAAGGAATCGATGAGTGAATGAGCTCACATTTTGCTAACAGTCTGATTGTTATAAGTCTTCAGTTGCACCCAGATTATGATATTATTGAGTGCACCAGAAAGGTTAAGCCGCAGTTGTAACTATGATCTCTATTTCAACTGCAAATAGCACTTATTTTGTAGAAAAGTTTAGTATCATAAAAATCTTCTCCTGAGATTGATTTGTCCCCCAAATATGTATCTGTGTCAAAATGCCACAAAGTTCAGCAGAAAAGGAAGCAGAAATGATTCAAGGTGGGCTCAGAGAAGGTACCAAAGCAATGTCTTTCAGGATGATGAGGATTTTTGAGATCTAATGACCTTTTCAGTTTCTGGTAAAGTTGGATGAATTGATGCTTAGATGGAAGGGTAAATTTTACTGCTTTCAGTAAGATCCTTTCTCCTTGGTAATTTTCACTGTCTTTTCTCCAGTGCTAACCCTTTTTAATTTGTACTATATTTTAATACTATGGTCACATGTTCATTGACCTACAGAAAAATTCACTCAGGTTAAAACAAATAGTTTTAACATTAGAGAAAACAGTAATGGGTATATTTGAGCACCAGGCTAAGTGCTTTCAGTTTTGGTATCCCATTGAAGTTCTATATTCTCATAAAGAAGACACTATTATCATTTTTTTAAAGATTAGAAAGTTAGAGGGTAAATAACTTGCCCAAGGTTAGCACTCTTATCAAGGTCCCACTAACTTCAAACACCATTCTTTCAATTATTTCATGTTGTTTCCCATGATAATAAACTCATGACAGTTTTAATTGATTTAGCCTAATAATCAGGAAATCCATGAAATAAAAAGTTTACAATGGTGAACACATAGAAAAATCAATTACTTGTCCGGATTTTTGGCTTATGACAATCTTGTGGGGCACTATAATATGTCTTCAGATATTAGGTTTTTCCATAAAAAATAGGGATTTTAGAAATTTTGGGATTCACTTTTTTCAGATAATATTTTTGAGCATCTACCATGTGCTTGTTTTTGGGAGTTTGAAGAATAGCAGGAAAAAATAAAATATTTGCTTTCAGGAAACTGAGAACATCATAGTAGATAACACAGACAAAATCTATGTCCTCATGAAACCATCTTTCCCCATATTGTCTCAATTACAATTCAGGTGGAAGCAAATTATCTCATATTATCTGAATAGTTGCTTCTCTCCTCCATTTCACTGCTTCTGTGGACTTCACCAGCTTTCAACACCCATTGGGACCCCATGTAAACATTCCTTTGAAAAAGAATGAAATTTTCAGAATGGAAGATAAAGTGCAATGGCTTAAAATACTTTTTGATCCCCATACTTTTTCTCAGTAGACAATATTGAAGTAATATAATTTCTGCTTTAGTAAAATGGTAATGAAACTTTATGTTCAATTATTATATGAGAATTAGAGAATTGTTGATGGTAATTGTGTCTCAAAAGTTTGTGAATTATTTAGTGAACTCAATATATGTTTCATTAACTCACTCAAATTACATAGTATGAACAATGCCTCCCGGAAGTCAAGTCATCATGTGCACAGCCTAAGCCCCTGTGGACATGGTAGATCAGTAACCAACCATGACATGTCATGACCTGCTTCATTTGGGAAACATATTTTTATTTTTTGTTTGTTTGTTGTTGTTTTTTTCAAAGAGAAAATTAGCCACTGACACATCATGCATTTATGAGCTAATAGCTTCTCCTCCTTCATATGCTTCTAGGTGTTGGTAAATGAGTTATTCCCAGAATAGTGAATTTTTAAATCTTTGAATCTAAGAATGACCCCCATTATCAAGCAGTCCCACGTGGTTGATAGGATACTTGAACAACTTTGAATAGTTATTGGTGATGAAGGCATATTTTAAGTATATAGCCCATTACCTACAATCTTTGGGATTCCTAGGGTATAAGATTTGTGGCTTGGTGTGTGGTGGGTGATGTTGAACTTGCCTGAAATGTAGAAATAGCTCATTTTTTTCAGGTGTGAATTCAAGTCAGCTGTCGTGGAAGGTAAATGTGCAGGGAGATTGAGGTACTTATGTCAGTGATTTACTTTAACTGTGCCCACAGCAACAAAGGATCTTACACAAATTCAGATATTGACTCTTTAGGTCTAAAGAGAGGCCCAAGATTTGAGTTTTTTCAGGTTGCTGATATGCTGCTGATCC